TATCAAGGACAACAATATTCAAAGCATTCTTCTACATGATCCAATTACCGCCTGAAAATTCAACAGCTTCCACTCTAATCCATTCGTCAAAACCGAATGATGTACATAGTTTATTGGCTTGACTACCAGATACTTTTGGTTCAAGAAGACAGACCATATAAGGGTTATAGGACCTAACAAACTGCTTAAGGGTGCGCCTAAATGAAGCAGAGGCCGCACCCACAAAATTCCATGTAAGACTAATCATAAGGAAAACAAGAAAACAAATAGCTCTTAGATGCGCTAGGGGGAAGACACCTCCATGCCAACACGGCCAGAACACTCAGCCACATCACCCACGGTTATATCGGGAGGAACGGCTGATCTCGTAGCAATGTGAGCAGGGTCCGGGGGATTTTCCTTGAATACATTCTCACAACCTTTAGCTCCTTGATTTCCAGGCTGGACAACTGAGCGTATGGAAATGTGAGCAGGGTCCGGAGGGTTCTCCTTGATCATATTCTCAAGACCCTCAGTTGCATGATTCCCAGCTTGAAAATTCGCATGGTACACCGTCGTGGTAGAAATTCCTCTTCCTTGGTTTGAACTACGGACTACTGTGTGTTCCGATTCCTTCGCCGCTCTGTTCGGGATTCTTCCCCCTCTCCCAATCCTTCCCTTGAAACTACCACGGTTAACCACTTGCTGTTGTGCTATTGGTTCAGACTGGCCTCTTGGCCTTAGCAGTGGTTCCGACACATTTTGGGCTGGACGCTCTTGAATGTTCACCGCCGTTCTGATTCTTGGAAGTCTCTCTGTTGGTTGCTGCAATTCAGATAGCCTAGGGGCAACGTCCTGGCCTTGGCTCAATGGATATTCCTCTAAGTCTGCCAGAGACGCGAAACGGGACTAGGTGCCAGTCCCTTCAAAGGCCAAACCGTGAGCACCGGCGGCTGCCTGTTGCCCAGCCCCTGGTTGAGACGTGGCCGGCTGATTTGTGTTTCTGCTGCGATTTCTACGATCTCTCCTGGTAACGAGCATCCAGGATCCATACCTTTTGAGAGGATCTTGGTTTATTGAAGCCTGGCTATTTCCCTCTGTGCAGTTTTAACCTCCTTTCCACATTGCTCCTGTCGATGTCCATAAACGCCGCACTCAAAACAAATCTGGTGGACACCTTCATACTCTATCGTCCACTCAGTTTCGCTAATTACAAACTTTGTCAGTAAATGCTTCTTGATATCAAGTTCTACACAGGCTCTCGCATACTTGCCTTTAGACGCAAGACTGGTTGTAAAGTCAATCTTAACCGGCCTTCCGATCTCCTTCCCTATTTTCTTGAGAAACTAGTCGTCGAAATACTCGATGGGTAGCACTGGTCGTTGAACAAGTTAAAATTATTTCACTTAAAACGATGTATGAAATAACTCATTTAAAAAAAAAAATGCCTAGGCAAGCCTAATCTGCCACCTAGACCATCAATTATGGTGAGATACACTAGACAATCATCTAGCACCTAAGTAGCGTAATCAGCCACCTAGACCATCAATTATGGTGAGATACACTAGACGATCAGCTGCCGATTCATCTGTGCCTAAGCGGGATTTTTGCAACATTGATTTTTACGCACTGAACTCATCATTCTCAATTGGAACTACAATAAGGAAAAAATTAAAGACAAAAAAAAAAAAAAAAAAAAAAAAAAAAAAAAAAAAAAAAAAAACTCTCATAAAGAAAAAAACAATAAAGGAAATACATTTCAGGATCTGAGATCCAAAAATAAAACTGCAGATTCAACTGTCAAAAATTCTGACACAGTTTTCGATCAGTGTACCAATAATAAGTGCCAATTCCTGAACATTAACATACAATCACACCATGAAATGAACCAACTCAAATCCTCTACTCCATTTTCTATAGTATTTAACTTTTGTTTTCTTGAAACAGAAAACCAGGGGAAATCGTAAAAATTAGGTGGAGAACTAGAGATAATTAGCTGACAAGAGATTCTTCAAAGAACACAAACTTATCACCTCCGCATACCACGACCACGGGGTGCAAATCCACGCCCTCTGCCATCCACCCCCACTGCCGCCCATGGCACCTGCAGCTTCTCCCTGGGCACTCTCAGACTGCATATGGATTGAAGACACAATGGATTATTGTTTCTGTTATAATTTAAGATTGGGTCATGGTCACTCAACTGGGTGGGTCAAATCACACTAAAAGATTGAATCCAATCAATTAGCCAGTCTAACCCATGGCCTTAAATTATGCCCTACCAAACGGCGCCGTTTTTACGTTAAAAAAAAAAAAAAAAAAAAAAAAAAAAAAAAAAAAAAAAAAAAAAAACCAAAATAGCGGATGTGGTGTTAACGGCGCGCGTTTGGTAAGATTATGAATTTTCTGTTATGAGATTATGAATGTACTGTAAATTCATAATCTCATAACAGAAAATTCATAATCGCATAAAAGAAAAACATTTATTAAATTATGAATTTTCTGTTATGAGATTATGAATGTACTATAAATTCATAATATCATAACAGAAAATTCATAATTTATGAATGTTGAAGAAGCTTGCGCTACAGAGGAGCAATCATGGTTTCGGACGGGGATGTGTAGGCAGGGGTCCAAAGTGAATGTGCAGACATGGATTCATAATTTATGAATGTCCGAAATCATTGCTCACCTCAAATTAAAGTGAAACCGCGAAATGTGAAAATGAAAAAGAAAAGTCACGCGATTAATTAAGAAAAAAAAAAAAAAAAAAAAAAAAAAAGATAACGGTGCACTAACACTGTTGGGACCGTGTTCACCATCCATGGTGAACACGGTTCCATGGCATAACGATTGATAAACCCATAAAGTAAACGAAAGCTCTGGACGTCACCCATAACCGTATGGGTGAACCCAAAGTGGACCGAACAGGCTCTAATACCATGTTATAATTTAAGATTGGACCATGATCACTCAACTGGGCTATAATGCACATGGGCCAAACCACACTAAAAAATTAAATCCAACCAATTAGCTAGTCTAACCCATGGCTTTATAAAGCCATATGTTCTCTCTTATTTTATGGATGTGGGACTTTAACAGTTTCCAAATGGTTCGAGTATAGAAAACGTGAACGAAATAGCCGTGCTACAACAGAAAGTGATAAAATATTTACATGATATAAACTAGTTAACACGTACATATATAATGTATAGCCTGGTCAAATGGTATTATATGGGGTCATAACCACCGTCATGATATTAAGTTTAACAGGAACTTAAGGGGAATGGTAAAATGTCGTATTGCCAATATGTTTATATATTAGGCAATGGAGTTCAACATTAAATGGTAAGCCCGAAACAAATTACCTTCACTGTTTCATCCACACTTAGGACAAGGCAAGCTGCATGCGTTTATGGCATTTATCTAAAAAAGAGATCAAGATTGTAATTTAAGAGACACTAGGAAGGCAAAAAATAAATAAAAAGCGATGGAAGTCAAAGCACCTTCACAACAGATGGTTCCCACAAAAAATTACCAAAAGAATCAGCTATTCCACCAGTATTGATAAGGTGCACCCTCACCTGTTTCATGGACTTGCAGCATTAATAACAAACAAATCTAAAGAGGAAAGGTTATAGAACCACTATCTTACAAAATATATATACAAAGTTAAAAATTAAACTTAAATAAGAAGCCAAATTCCAAAATAAATACCATAAATCCTAATCGGCCAGACTTCACATACCAATATATCAACTAAATATAAGTAGGCTCACCTGATTGGAGGGCATGTTTTTGTCTAAGTTTGTTCAACAGATCAGTTGCATCAAAACAAGCATTGTCACACAGTTGGCGTGGAATAATCTGCATTCAGAAAATGAGTTTTTTATATTAAAAAAAATAATAAAAATTTAAGCATGCACAAAGGCAAAATAACAATTTTATTTTTTTTAAAGAAAAAACACAAACTATTTCAAAGAACTCAATGTAACAGCAAAAATATCACATTATCCCATAATTACATATTGTTAACACATCTATCGTAAAGAAACTAGCACAGCATGGGAACCCTAACAATCATAAAACTTTTAATGGAATAATGACATTAGCAAGACAAATATGTTCAGGAATTGAAATAAGCCAGGGACAAAAATATGGCATATATAACTGTAAAAGTGTGTAGGGTTTCATCTATTTCGACCGGCGGCGGCGAGGGAAACGGTCAACACTCCCGGAAGCGCCTCGTCAAGATGAATCCAACGGCGGTGGCAGTGTCGCAATCGGAGGCTGGAGGAGAGAGATCTGGCCGGAAAAGCGCGCGGCAGTCCAGTGACGTCGGCGGCGCGTGCGGCGGAGATCAGCGACCGGATTCCTGCTGTAGGCTCGCGACGACGTTCCGGTAACCCCTGTGGTGTCAGTTTGGAAAAAAAACCACCAGGTGGACGTCGGAACAACAAGACAGTCGCGGCAGCAGTGTGGCTCCAGTGGCGGCAGCGGCGGCGACGGCGGTGGGAAGGAAGAAAGAGATTGTTTAGGGTTTAGGCTCTGATACCATGTAAAAGTGTGTAGGGTTTCATCTATTTTTTCAAATAGAACTGTACAGATCACAATAATTTATACTGGAAAACTAGCTATAACCTAATGGACTCACTGTAACGGGCCTAAGGTTTCAACAATAACAAAGAGAATGCATTAATTATTTAATTTGCAATAATAAAACATATGGCCTACTTTGCTCACTACAACCAAGAAACTTCAAGCCTACACAAACACATTGGGATAGACTCATAGACATCTGAACATACTGAAACACTGTTTTATAAATAAAAACAATGCAGAAAAGGATAAATAAATACTCTGTAACACTCCAGTACAATTAAGGCACAGATTAAACCATTCACACAACTAAAATTAAACACAAATCAGTAACAATATTAATGTACTACCTCAAGGGCTTTGGCATCTGAGTTTATAAAGAGTTGAGATTTCCCTTTTATTGTGCGTGCATGCTGCATGCCCTTAAATAACGGCTAATCTCCATCTGCACCCAGCAATATATTTCATTATCAAGTTGTTGAGATCATTGAAACCAGATACGGAGAATTAGAGAATGGTGCTAAGGTCTTACATCAATCGCGCCACCACCGGCAACAACAGTAGAGTTTTTCATAGCTCTTCTAACAATCATAATTGCGTCGTGCAAACTTCTCTCAACTTCTTCAATGAACTAGTATAACTCAAGAAGTCAAATTAGGATCACCAAATAAAGCAAGGGCATAATATTTAGTCATTATTTTATCAAATTAAATTCCACTATAACTTTTTTTTATCAAATCAAAGAACTCAGTACCCACACTTAGCTACACTTTAAATTCCTATTCAATATCATTAGCATGCTTCTAATAAACGTACTAAAGAAATTTTATTAAATTATGTAATTATGTAATTTGACTCATTTTCAACTTTAAGATTAGACACTAGAAATTTCATAATTTTTGAAAAAAACTTAGGCATTCAAGAAGTACATTAAAATATGAGTTAATTCCAGAAATGGTCCTCCGACTATGTTGATTTTTCACAATTGGTCCCCAACTTATAATTTCGACAATTTAGACACTTGACTTTCTAATTCTTTCCAATGTTGGTCCTTCCGTCAAATTGAAGGTTAAGTGGACGTCAATTTGAGGGGTAATAACGTCATTTCAAATAATGAGTGTATATTTCGCCGTCTTTCTCCCTTCCTTGTATCACGACATTCATCGCCGCCTCCTGAACCCTTGGGTCTCTGTTGGGATCGACTTCGACGTCCAAAATACCAAGGACTTTCTGCCTCAGATCCTTGGAGAGTTTCATGATAGTCCCTCGATCGGAAGCAGAACGGTTGTGATTCGGCAGTCACTTTGATCGATAGCTGGTGCTTTATCCGGAGGAAGTCGTCAGGATCCATTAACAAGTGGAGGTTTTCGCTTGCGGCGTTTCCGAAGGATTTTGATTCGAATGGAGAGTAGTGTAGAGAGTTTGATTCTCAAAATTTTGCAGATTCATGCCTCGGCAGGGGATTTCATCAGAAGCTCCGAGGGCTTGACAACTAATTCCGGCGACACAAAGCCTCTGCCACATCCAGTTCAAATCCTGACCTCCGGAGCGTCGCCGCCGTCGGCAATTCTATTGCGACCAGGGTCACTAGGGCTCGTAGTCACCGCCGGGATCGTAGTCTCCTGCTCGTGGAAGGACCAGTGAAACAAGCTCCCAGCGACGGAGAAGACAAGGGCTGAGAACCCTCAGAATGGCAGAAATGTACGTCGTCTACCCGAAAACGGGAGCGGGCATGAAGCACGGCGGTCCAACTCTGGGTGAAGTGGTGCTAAACGTCCATTTAACCAGCTTGGGACGGAAGGACCAATATTGGAAACATTTCGATAATCAAGTGTCTAAATTGTCCAAATTAAAAGTCGAGGACAAATTGTGGAAAATTATGATAGTTGGAGGACCAATGCTGGAATTAACTCTTAAAATATCATCATTTTTAGAATATAACTTTTGTAAGAATTTAGTGAATAAACAAAATACCTTAAAATTAAAATATAAATAATAAAAATTCAAACTTCAGAATCTTCACAATGGTAATAATACGTACACATAGGTTGGAAGTGCATGCATGCTACGTATATGTATGTTCCATCGCACCTGTTTGAGAAGGAATAGAAGTTGAACCAGTGCTTGCAAGGATGGGCTTCTAAAGGCCTCAAGGTCTTGGATGGGTTCCGTTTGTGATGCTTTGTCTGGATACCAGTGAGTGTTGCTTTTGTAGAAGGTTTCATCCACCTTTAATGGCAAGCTCAACATTCTTAAATGTGGAATATAATGCTCTTTGCTAATTCTGGCCATTACCTATCTTAATTAGCAAGTGAGAAATACCGGGGCCTCCGTCGCTGCTTCATGAACAGCGACGAATTGGCGGTAGATGCGGACGCCAGTAGCGGTGTTGTCGATATTCAATTCCGTGGCTAGAGGAGAGAAGTTTACAAGATGCATGGATGGCTTCGGTTCCAAGTGTTTCTTGTATTTTAATTTTTTGTACCGGTTTGTGCATCTGCGCCTTTCTCAATGTAGCCTATTCTTCTCCAATGAGTGTGAACATCAGCAATCACTCCCTTGAACAAATGCTTTTTAAGTGTCCCAAAAACATATGTTAGTACAATAATATCTACCTGATCAGCTCCACCACGAAGAACAATGGTAGCAGTCTTGCCAGATGGGCATCCACTAAATATGTTGAACCCGGTCATTTCCTACTTGCCTCTCCTCAAAATTCTCACATGATCCAAGAACCTTCTCCACAAAAAAAAACACAGTTCGTAAAACATAAACAAAAAAGGATCCTGAAAATATTATAGCATGCTTGCCATAGTATTTCTTAAATTTATGGGAATAAAAAAAACACCTCATCAATAACATTGTTCACAGTTGTCTGTTCTGTTCCACCAGTAGCAGCTGCCACCCTCTGCAGATCCTCCTCAGTAACACGGCCAGCACAGAATATATCCCGATCTGCAAAATACTGGCCACAGAACAATTTGATCAATACATATTGATCTCCATTAGAGAATAGCTTAAATGATACAATCTTACTTGCAAAGGCATAAAGTGTTTTTGGGAAATGGCAGCACCGTAGAAACACATTATAATTGAAATTTGTGGATGAATAAAAAGGAATAGAAAAATGCATTTTTACTGAGGTTTCTGAAAATTGCATATCATCCTCCCCCCCTCCTCTCCTATTCTGGCAGCTCTATAACTCTAGTTAAAAAAAGGAAGTGCTCATTGGCTCCTCGCCATTAATTAACAATGCAATTCAAACACACAATTCGCCATTAGAAATGTACAAATAATATATGGGTACGTGATTGTACTTAATAAAATAGAAAATTAGATAAATGAAAAATTGGAGAAATGGAGAAATGGAAAACCGGAAGAATGGAAGAATGGAGAAGGAAAAATGGAGAAATGGAAAACTAGAAATGTAAAAACAGATAAATGAAGTAAAGGACCCCTATATGTTACAACTTCATCCCTAAAATAGTACGGAGTATAATGTTATTATGTGACAATTGATTTATAGAATAAGCATGGAATTGATATAATATTCTATGGAACATGTCTATCTTGATTTTTTATTTTTATGCATAATGTAAATTATATATATTCTTAATGTATTGAAATAAATATGTGAAGTATGTTTCAGTTTAAAATGTAGAAAGTCAAGTAAAAGCAGGGGCGAAGGCACCTGTGACTAGCAGGGCTGCAGGGGGCCTTGCCCTACCCCCTCCCCCCCCCCAAAAAAAAAATTGTATTAATAATGTGAAAGTCAATTATGGCCCCTCTCATTAGTCACTAAAACATTTTCCTTCCTCAAACAAAGCTTCTTGCGTAAGTTTTCACTTAAATCAACCCAATTTCAAACCAAATGAGATAAGGCATACCGCATACAGAAACAACAAATCACATCAATACACACAAAGGCATTTCTCTTCCATTTTTCAAGCAGCAAGTGTATAGGTAATTTTACATTTCTTTTTTATTCTTTAAATCTTTGAATTTTTTTTTATGAATTATTATTTATTGGAGATAAATTCATTAATCTTCACCACAATAAAAAGTCTAGATATTGTAGTTAAATGGTGGGTTGAAATAACCAAGTTTGTAAAAATATATTCAACTATTGAGTATGTATTTAATTAAAGTGCGGAGCTACTATAATGTTTCACAAAGTAAATCTGCAAAACTCAGTCTACAAAGGAGCTAATGTTGGGCACCAAAGATCAATCTGGGTAAAAGATCAAATACTTTTGAGAAAAGTATTTGTAAGTGTTGCATTGTAGGGGTAATTAACTCCTTATATATTTCTTTTCTATAAGTCTCTTTGTGATACCGAAAGTAATGGTAAAAGAGAATATTTCATGTTGAACATGAAAATTTCAAGAGAATTATTTGTGAGTAAATAAAGTACACGTTAAAGTGTACGTAAATTTGATCGAGATGATCAACTTACTTTAATATAGAAGACTAATTATGAGGTTAGTCGTTGAATTATTGATGAAATGACATAAAGCACATGAGGTGATGAATTCATATGGTGGATCCCACTTTTGTGGTCAAATGAAGCCATGGAAAGAATCACAAAGTAGTACACTAATTGGTCATTCTATCACAAAGTAGTACACTTAATGTGTAAAAAAAAAAAGCATGCTAAAAGGACTAAATCTGTTAGTTTTAAAAGTCACGAACTGAAATTACCACCTCCCTTATAGTCATAGGACCAAAAGTGTAATTTTCTCTCTCTCTCTCTCTCTCTCTCTCTCTCTCTCTCTCTCTCTCTCTCTCTCTCTCTCTATATATATATATATATATATATATATATATATATATATATATATATATATATTAGAAGTGCCTGGAAAAGGTTTCCCCTCAAAATTTATGGGCATTTTTGTAATATCAATCATTTGAAAAAAATGACATTTAATATTAAAATTAAGAGTTAATATCATCTAGAGTCTCCAAGTATAGTAGTTTTGCCACGTTTAGTTCTAAACTTTCAAATTATCACCTATGGTCCTTCGACTTTCAAATTGTTACCATCCGTGGTCCAAGTTAACCACCCATGTCCTTCAACTATCAAATTTTAACCACCCATGATCCTTTTAAGAGGACCGCAGCTGGTTAAATTTTGAAAATTGAAGGACCAAGGTGGTTAACTTGGACTACGGATGGTAACAATTTGAAAGTCAGAGGACCATGGGGGGTAATTTGAAAGTTTAGAATTAAACGTGACAAAACCACCATACTCGGAGGACCCTAGATGATATTAACTCTTAAAATTAATTACACTTTTCTTTCATATGATAATTTTATGTTATTTTCAACTTGAGCTTATTTTTCTCTTTTTCTTTTTGTAAAAATAAAACTATTGTATAAAAAAATCATTAAAAAGCTCTAATTAAGATCTTTTGAATGACATCCATATTGATATACTTTTTTTTTTTTAAGAAATCTATAGGTACATAAAGTCATTACTTTAGTGTAATATTTTATACAATAAGCTTTGTTTTTATTAACATATAGAAATAACATTATGAACCTACTATAAAATGAATGGAAATACATATAATGATGGCCACTTAATTTAGGATTTTTTGGACATTACAACTTATGTTTATAGACATATAGAATAAATATTAGAATAAATTTCACTTTTTTGTCCACTGACCATATTATACATGAATCACATTTAGTCCTTGACTATTAAAATTTTCTAATTAGGACCATTAGGTGCATGCCTATGTAATTTGTATTACATTTGGTCCTACCATTTAATTTTTCGACCAACTATTGTCAGAATTGTTCCTTCCGAAATAAATTAATGTGATACAAATTACATATTCAGGCACATAATTAGAAAATTTTAATAGTCAAAGACCAAATGTGATTCATGTATAATTGTCAAGGGATCAAAAGTGAATTTTTTTTCTAAATATTATGAACATAGTACGAGATGAATGTTATTATACATGACGCGTCTATAGTAATATTTATATACATTAAACTTTGTTTTTATGAACATTATGAACCTAACTACTATAGAGTAAATGTAAATACATATAATTGTATATTTAGTTTAGTGTTTATGAACATTAATGTTTATATTTATAGACATATAGAACAAATATTATGAGATAGCACACACGTGATGTGTATATAGTCCTTTAAAAAAAAAAATTAATCCCAACATTAAATCATTATAAATTAAAGCAAAATTTGATATTACGTACTATACATACTTTATTATAATAAGATATTGTTAGAATATTATATAATATTTTGAGTATTTATTTATTTATTTACATTATTTATATTTAATAAATAATTTAATTATTAAATATATATTACTATTCGTGCATCGCACGGGTGCTATACTAGTTTATCTTAAAGAAAGAGTATAAAAAAGAATATATACTGAGATCGAGTATCAAGACTTTAACACACTTTTAGAGAGTATTCTTATGCTAAAAAAGGAAAAATCATGGAAACCCTGGGTGATAGTTCAAGTGTCAAATGAACTTTTTTTATTGGGAAGAATTTCGGGATATAACTCAGGTTCACTCTCGCAAGTGACGATTCTTCCTGAACCAATTTTCATGACATCCCGGAATGGGGGACTAATCGGGTGCACTTGGACCGTTAAGAGAAAGACCCGGACCACCTCGTGGTTACAAAAAAAAAATCAAAACAAAAAAAACAAAAAAAAACCATGAAGGGTATTTACATGAAGGGTATTTATATGTATAAGGTCTTGAGTATCTTAGACTCAAAAAACATTTAGAAATAATCAAAATGAATATCAATAACTTAAATGAACATTTTAAAGTCTAGAAAAAGATTTTTGTGAATAAATTTTTTTTTTTTTTACATATAAAAATGGTTTAGGAAAATTTGAGTTACTTAAGATTTTTTCTCTTTTCAAATTCATAAAAATTTAATTTAAGAGGGTGTTTGGTAATCAAGAAAATTCAAACTGTCTTAAGAATTTGCAACAGATAAAAAAAGTATAGAACATATACTACATTGTAATAGAGTCAATAGTACTAAAAAAAAAAAAAAAAAAATCTTTCTTAGGAATTTAAAAGATAGAAAGTTATTAATATGTTTGCCAATCTTTGACTTAGAAAGTTTAAAGTTTTCTAAGAATCTAATTTTGTAATATCAAGAAAGATAAATGCGACCTATGTACAAAATTTATTCAAATACATATTTATCATTTGTTGTGACACGTTAAAATTTAAAAGTATCTTTTATTATTTTATAAATATAAAGAATTTTCTCCCGCCATTATGAAGTATAACGAGTTAAAGACCCGCGTGTGTATGAATTGGTAAGAGTTTAATTTGTTAGTCTGTTTCACGTTAATGGTCTGAAGTAGTATTATATAGTTAATATGAGTTAATTCCAACAATGGTCCTCCGACTATTGCGATTTTCCAAAATTGATCCTTGACTTTTAATTTGGATAAAAAAGACACTTGACTTTCTAATCTGTTCCAGCAATAGTCCTCCCGTCTAACTTCCGTCTCTTAGCCGTTTGTGGAGGGTTAAAATGGTCTTTTTGCTTTCTTCTTTCTCATTATATATACACAGAGAAGCAGATTGACGCAGAGAAACAAATTGACGCAGATAAGGAAACTGAAACAGAGAAGCATCGAAGAACTCCATCGTTTCTCACATATCTTGCTCGCGTAGCTTCCTCAGAGCCAAAATTGCTCGCCTAGGGTCCTTCCTCCATTATTGAACTAACCGTTGTGTGTCCCTCTCAACATTCCCTGGACCCTGGATACTAAACTGTCTATACATACATACATGATGTATATATACAACTTTGCAGATTCGCGAATAGCATTTATCTATGTGCATCATATCATGGTTAGGTAATATGAAGAGAGAATTTGAGATGTTGTCATCGTACGTTGTTCTACGGCGATGAACAGGTTTTTGCGGTGGACGACGAAGCGTATATCATCAACGGAATGCACGATAAGCTGAGCTTCCGAGCTTTGTTAAGCTTGTGCCTCAACCACGAGGAACAGACAACTCTATTACATTTACTACCTCCTCAGCTCATGAGTACTGCTGCTACTTCTAACTTCAACTGCTTGCAGTATGATGTTTATCCTCCAACGTCGTTACCGTTGCCGGAGAATGTGGCATTCGGATCCTTTACTGCATTTTCGCCGACTTTGATATGGAGTCTCCAATACGGCGGCGGCGGAGACTTGGAGCTCATGTTTTCGAAAATGCCGAGGCAGGAGTTCAATACTCATCACTTCGATCGGATCCTATGGACTATGGTTATGGCTATGGATTCCTCCAGACGCAGGTTAGAGTCCTCTAGAACATGCGGGTTCGACGTGCTCTCCCCTCTCCAATCACTACCCCTGCCCTGCACGGAACACTCGCGAGGCTCTCCCGGCAACAGCTTCTAGAAGTTCTGGTGAACTCGCCGGCGGCTCAGACGTTCCTTTAGTCCAGAGGCTGTTGCGTTTACTCCGTGGAACAATTGGCTCTGCTCAGAAAAGTAGTCGACAGAAAAGCTCTGTTTGAACAGATACTCATCGCCTCTGCATCCATGTTACGCTCCTAATTAAGGTGCTCAATAATGGAGGCGAAGAGCTTTCACTACTATACCTTGTAGACATTTCTTGATTCCTTGAAGATGAAGAGCTTCACTACTATACCTTGTAGACGTTTCAATAATGGAGGAACCACCCTAGGCGAGCAATTTCGGCCACTGAGGAAGCTACGTGAGCAAGATATGTGAACAACTGGGTTCCTCTTCCCATTTTTTGTCTCCTTTTCTTCATCATCATCATCTTCTTCTTCTCCCTCAAAAGCAGGCGACTCAGATACTATTGAACAACTGGGTTTCTCTCTAAGCATTCATCAATGGTAGGTGATTGTCTAACACCCCACTGGAAATCTCTCATTTGAACTCGCTGGGGAACGATAGGTAATTGTACTGCTCGACCTCTGTGTGACTGTGTCCAGCTTCTTCATCCACCTCCGTTGCCGGCCAGAGTAAGCAGTGGGTCGATCTCCACATCAGCCTGTCGACGAGGAGGTGTATGTTGTGGTTGTAGGAGATGTTGGTTACGTTCGGGAAGTGGAGGCAGTGGTCTGTGCGTGGCAAATGGAATCACGAAATTAGAAGTCCTGTGGAAAAGTGCAGTGCCACAAGCGGTGATGGTTTTGCTGGCGGTGGTGGCCAGTCTAATGA